TTTCAGCATCATGGACAGAGACATCAGGCTCACCGTATGCAGGGACCCTAGAAAACTCCAAAGTCACAGAGCAGGGGGTTTTTAACTTTTGAATGCAGGACTTTTACTTGTAACAGAGTATTCCTACACGCTGTACATGAACGGAGTACTTTTTTCCACCTCTGCACTTATGTTACAATCCAAATGTAGATATATCAATGTTCCAATTCAGATACGTTTGGACGTTTGCATCTTTAAACAAAAAATGGTTTCCTCTATTCGAGATATATATTTGTCGAAATAAACTTTATTTACTTTCAAAAAGTTTTATTTAACAACTTGATAATTAGCCAAACTTCTCACAAGTGGTTCAACAGAACCACAGTATACAGTGCGAGCTATTTGTAGAGTTCCCAGGTGGTCCCCCTGCTTTGTTTGATTAATTAACATTTCTTGATTTAGTACTTATGATCTGTAATGAGATTCATGTCTCTTCTGGAATTTGGAGTTCAAAAGAGACAAAACAAAACGTTGAAAGAATGCTAAATTAGTATGTGGAGAAATCACGTCTCTGTCCTTGACACATAACCTGTCTCTTATCCACAAAGTGTATATAAAGGGGAGAAGCCGGCGTGAAACGTGATTGTATTTGTGATTTATCTTGACAAATGAATGCAAGTGTTTTACCCTAACCAGAGTGTGTTTATCTTGAAGCTATGTGCATTTGTTTGTGTAGACTTTGAGTTTCTCTTGACAATTATGCAACAATATACCAGCTTATAGACACATGAATATATTGTTCATTGACCTTTATATTCAGTCTTAATTCGTTTTTAGAGGAGAACCCCAAATGTTAGTGGTGTCTTCAGGAGAATAATTGTTTGAAAGAAATGTTGAATCAACTTTAGTTAAAGAATAATTAATTAACTGATTGATGTTATGTGCTGTCAGATCATTAACCCTTCTCTTGCTTAGGTCATATCCCCCTCCCCATACTATTTTCGGTTAAAATTGACCGGTGTGTTTTGCACAGTGATATCTCTGGAACCCCTTATCCAATTGTGATGGTTGACATCTCATTTGAACAGTCAAAGCAAGTATACATTTTGCAGAAAGTTCAAAGATAGTGCTTACTGTACATTACTGTATATTATATAAATGCTTGCCATGTAGGCTGATTGAAATGCTTTACTTAGTGTTGTAGCTGAGATTCTTCCCGTTCCAATGATGTTTGGGATGTATTGATTTGATACAAGTAAGTCAGTGTTTCATTGTGTACTTTCCACTACAGTATATGTACTATATATCGTCCGGACCCACCGGTGGGCCCATCAAGTTCAGCATTCACTGTGATGAATATAAAATAAGACACTGATACTGTTTTCCTCAATGAACATTTAGAGAAAAATAAATATTCAGGGCTCCTCTCCCTCAGGGGCCTCTCCCTCAGGGGCCGCTTCCTGGTCTGTTGACTGTTGGTCAGGCTCATAGTCTGGATCGCTGTTGTCTTCCATTTCTGAGACATCGTCCTCTATCTCTGGTTCAAAACATTTGTCCAAAGCATCTCGGTCAGAAAATCGCTTAATCAGTCACCTGCTCATTGTGTCAATGAGTCAAATATGAGCAAGGTACAAATATAACTGCATGAGAGACAGTAAGGGAGGGGCCATTTACTGCGGGAAAGTGAGAGGTTTTTCTTTCTTGACTGGAGGGCACAGAAGCTCGCACTGTGAGCGCGCGAGAAAGTGAAGAGATTCCCGTAACTTAGTCAACTTGTTTTGTCTGGAAGGTGTGGGGTGACATAAGCACATAAGTGTGTGTGTGTGTGTGTGTGTGTTGTTGTGTGTGTGTTTGTGTGTGTGTGTGTGTGTGTGTGTCAAGTGTGTTCAAGCTTTATTGTCAACACTAAATAGCTACAGAGTTATTGTGTTGGTTGAAAATCTTAGGTCACAGGCCTTCTCCAGCAATGCAACACCAATAATACACTGTGTGTGTGTGTGTGTGTGTGTGTGTCTGTGTGTGTGTGTGTGTGTGGTGTGTGTGTGTGTGTCGTGTAACAACTGATGGGCAAAATGGGACAGAGTGTGTGTATAGATGTTGCAGGGACCCCAGCATCTCCAGAATGTGTAACATAATGTCGGGGGACCTTCATGATGCACCCATCATATGTCCTATGGCGGTAATTAGAAAGCAGCTTTTAGCGAAACATGCCGCGTCCACTTCGTTCAAACTGATATCAATAATGGACCAAGTGATTAAACGTTGCGGACCCCAGTGGTGGGGATGCATCAAGTGTACATGTTCAGAGGCCTAGTGTGGAGAGTACCCATCAATGAGCTCTGGAGCGTTCATTGGATGAAAAAACTTGATAATAGCTGCTATCATGCTGAAAACGCAGTCCAACGTAATCTCCACGTTAAGACTGAAACGGCAAGAGAATGGTTTAAAGGTGGGGTAGGTAATTTTGGAGAAACGCAGCTCGAGTGCCGGTAAGAATTTGAAAATACACAGCCGGAAAAAATTCTGGGGCCACTTCCTTACAGAAGCCCCTTCTCCCGCAACACACCCAGTACGTGGCACATGACCAATGAGGCACGAGATAAGTTTGTTGCACCAGATGGAAGGCTGACAGGCCAGGTAGGCCCCTCGGCAGTTATTTTAGCCCGGGCCCGGCTCCAGAAATGATTGGTCGTCGCTTTTTACAGTACTAAGCGGCTTCCCCCACAGATGAACAATTTTGTTAATGATTTCTTTTGTCAAAGGCACTCCTCAGATATTCATTTGCTACTCGGGATGTTTTAGAAGCCATCTGCCCCGCAAGTGGAATAATACGACAAAAGGGTGTTGCACCCTCGAGCCGGTTCTCCAAACCTTAGCCTACCCCCAAAGCCTCTTAAGTGGTTTGAAAAGAATATCTGTATCTTGTTTGTTGTTTCACCCCTGGTGTAAGAGGGCTAGAAAAAGTTTAGCCTGCGAATTCAATTATGAAGTACTATGAAAACAGCAGCTAAATATGTGATGTCCAAACCAAAGGCCAATTTGTAAAAATATTCAAAAACAAGCAACCTACTTCTCCTCAATGTTTTTAGAGGCTAATAAAACCAGAAACAGTATGGGGCATATGTTTTTGCCTTGATACAATTGAAGCCTGAAAAGGTAAACAGAAATGTAAATTCACAAGTTAAAACAGTGAAGGACAGCAAAAGGACTTAGAAGCCACTAAAAACTGTGAGGCCAGGAATTTCCAGGAAGTGAAGTGGTGTGGGAAACCTCCCCGTCCAAAGTGTGTTGGCCCTCCAGCCAACCTTGAGCCCCCAACCCCCAGACGCAAAAACACATGCAGTAAGCAGGGAGCCTGCCATAGCAACAGGGAAACTCCTTCCTCAG